GACGGTTCAAAGATATCAAATCTACCGATTGACCGAGTATATCCGATATAAGTTCACTACGAAAAGTTCAAAGGGAAACCTACTTATCCAGATGCAATTAATTCTTGCATGTAAAACACACACACGTCCGTGCATTCCTTTAAGTTTATAGTCATTCCCCATTCATGTGGGGGATTGTTGGGATTTGTTATTATTTATTAATAACAAAAGAGGTGTGAATGGAAAATGGTGGGAAAAGAAATGGAGGGAAGTGAAATTTTGATTGAGTTCATTTTACTAATGCACTTTGTCCCTCATTGGTAGAAGGAAAGAAAATCTTTGTGTATATATAGAGAAGCTCATCTTTTAGCTCTTAAAGAGTTAAGAAGAAGGCAAGCCTCGCGTCGTCGTCGTCGTCCTCGTCGCTCGCTCGGCTCGGCTCGGCTTCGGTGAAAGATTGATTGATTAATCTTTTTGGACAAAATTCTTTTTAAATATTTAATTAATTAATTAAATTAATTAATAAAAATTCAATCCGGAATAACCCATGACCCGCGACCCGGTCCGGTTCGGCCCGTTTTCTTTCCCGGATTATTTTAAATCCGTTTCAATTTTCCCGCAATATTTCCAACAGCTATGGCTGTTCTGAAACAGTGTCAAACCTGTTCCAACAGCTATGGCTGTTCTGAAAGGTTGCAAACCTTTTCAGAAACAGTACCAAATTGGCTATAAATATTCCTTCAAATCCCAGAATATTTACTTACGAAATTTTCTGATAATCTTCTTCTTCTTCTGCACAAAAATTTCAGTGTGTTTTACAGCCTTCGAGTGGTTCATTGTTCATCGGTGTTTTTGGTACCAATACTCCGGTGAGTTAAATCGTTCTATCCTGGGAGGATATATTCCAGAACCCGGGGTACTTGAGGGGAATAATTTCCTTAAGGAAACACTGTGTATTCAGTGGGCTCGATTTGTTCCTATACCGTTTTCAAAATTTATTTTGAAGTTCAAATACTGTTTTCAAAATTTATTTCTACTAACTTTCTGTTTCTGTTTTCAGAAAGATTATTGTTTTATTTATTTACAGCAATACAGATTAATAACATGAAGAAGCTGAAGAACAAGTTGATGTATTTGTAGACTTTAATTTTCTCTCCTCATTTTCATACCCTCTAGAATTTGAGGAAATTTTTGATTTTTTTGAATTTGTAAAAGGTGAGTTTAAGAAACTTGATAGCCTACCTCCCGGAGAAATTGGCTGCTTAACTTTCTTTAAATTTCCGTAAATTTTCAAAGCTCTTGATTTTGTCTTCACAAATCCATCTTCATGATGTTTAGCCTTTTCCTTTGCTAGAGAAAAATCTGTTGAAACATTAAATAGATTATATATGAACAATGGGAAGTAAATGTTAAGAGAATGGAGAAAAAACTGAAAATAGAGTATATGAACAATAGAAAGAAATGTGAAGAGAATGGAGAAAAAACTGAAAACTAACTTAATATTGCCATAAAAAAAACAATATAGTGAAAATGCATATTTCTAAGCTTACAGCCTATTCCAATAATCCTCAAATACTAACATAATTTAAGCACGCACCTATTATCAGGACTAACATCAGTGGCGAATCCAGAAATTTTTCTATGGGTATTCAGACTTGAAGGAAGAGAAAAAAATTCTCTGACAAAGGGTGTACAATATATGTTATATACCTTTAAAACCTATACTTATATACACAATATAATTTTTCGACGAATGGTGGTCAATTGATCACCCTTAATCCAACATAGCCCCTGGCTGACATATTAGTATACAAGTTATAGGTTCATAAAGACTCAATATTTTTGGTTTCAGGCCCTGTATATGGTTAAAAAGTTTACTAAATAAAAACAAACAATATATTTCGTACCCGGTACTTTAAATGAGTTGTGATGAACTCGTTCAAATTCTGAATCTGATTCTGCCTACATTATCCTTATTTGGACTAACAAATTGTGAAAGACAGACTACTCTAGCAAACTTTGACTTACTACTATTCAACAGAATAAAATGGTTGTGATTATAGATGGAAATAAATACTCACCATAAAAGCTGAGGTCTTTGGGACAATATTGGTCAGTTGAAATGGTAGTTCTAATAGGTTTAGGCCTATTATTAAGACCATTATAACAAGCAGAAGAGCCACAACTTGAGGAGCTTGAATTCTTCTCAGAATCAGCTGCAGAATAATTTTTTCAGTTGCCTTATAATGCTTTTGAAGATGTTGTGGTTGGTCAATGGAGTGGTAAATAGAGTCAAGAAGTGTGGAAGGGCTACAAGAATGTCGAGTGTAGTAGTTATATTTATCCATGTCAGGAGTATATATTATTATTTGTACTGTTTAACTGAAAGAACTGAGCAAAAGAGAGGAGAGTGAGTCTTTGCCTAGCAGTAGTAAGATGAAAACAAGGGGGGAAGAGAGTAAATGATAATTCAGTCTTCTTATTGTCTGCTTTGGAAGAGCCAAAAGCTTCAAGAGAGAGAGTATAATGGGGAGTAGGGACAAGAGCTTAATTAATTTGTTCAAATTTTTTTTTAGATAATCGGAACCAACTTGCACACATCTCAATTAATTTTGCAAAATACCCTCCTACCAGCACATGTATTCACGTACATTTTCAAGAAAGGGATAGAGAGCGAGAAAGAGCATTTGCTCATGAGTGGTGAAGGAAAAATGGGAAGGGAAGAAATGATAATGTAGACATGAAATGGGGCTGGATTTGACAGTGGCAAATGTAGCATCATAGTAAATTGAACTCATGACTTTTAAGGTAAAGCATAAATTTATGTGTAAAAAATCATTAAGAAAGTGAATCCATAATTCTAAAAATATAAAGGGCTCAATGTTAAAAGTTGGACACATAAAATTGAAGTTCGTGATCTGCCTTAATGATGGTTTTAATAAGAGAAGATAGAGGAGAGAGCATATAGCATAATTAGAGCCTGGATTTGGATGACATGCCTAAGAAAGGAAGTGTGAGTTTATTCTCCTTTTTCTCTATTAAGTAATAATAATAGCTCCACTTTGGGGTTTGGGCTTTATACTATATTAGAAACTGCCATTAGAGAGCTCTGCACAAGTGAGGAAGAAAGAAGAAGGAATTGGGAAATTTTCCAACTATATTTACTGTGCCACAGAATCAGTTATATACAATTAACTAAGGAAACAAAATAATAAAAAGACCCCCTAACTTCTAGTAATTACATTTGGGTCGCAATAATAACTAACTCCTAATCTAGCTTCTAATCCTTTAATTTCCAATACTCCCCTTCAAGCTGGAGGGTGGAGAATATTCAACACTCCCAGCTTGTTGAGTAAAAAATTATGTTGCACAGATGAAAGCCCTTTGGTGAAGAGATCTGCTTGTTGATCTTTTGTAGAAACATATTGTGTAACCAAGGTGCCATCCTTGATACGTTCACGAACAAAATGACAATCTATCTCGATGTGTTTGTACGTTCATGAAAAATGGGGTTTTCAGCTATTTGCATTGCTACTTTGTTGTCACAGAATAGTGTAACAGGCTTAAAAACTTGCACTCCTAATTTTGAAAATAACCCCAATAGCCACACTATTTCTGAGACTGCTGATGCCATGCTACGATATTCTGCTTCAGCGCTGCTTCGTGAAACAGTGTATTGTTTCTTTGATTTCCATGAGATCAATGATTCACCAAGCTTGACTGTATATCCACTAACAGAGCTTCGTGTCATTGGGCAAGCTGCCCAGTCGGAATCACAAAAAACTATCAATGTATCTACATTCCCTCGCTTCAATAAAACTCCCATTCCTGGTGTAGCCTTCAAATACCTCACTACTCTAAAAGCAACCTCCATGTGTGACTTCTAAGGCAGTTGCATAAATTGACTCAAGGTCTGGACTGCATAGCTGATATCTGGTCGAGTGACTGCCAGGTAGAGCAGTTTCCCAATCAGTTTTTGATACTTGTTCGCATCTGCCAAGGGATCTTTATCTTGTATACCAATAGCTCTGTCATATTCCACACTTGTAAGCTTCTGATTGACTTCAATTGGTGTCAAAGCTGGCTTGGCTCCACTTAAGCCCAATTCAGAAATCAACTCTAAACAGTATTTCCTTTGATTAAGTAATATTCCATGATTAGATCTCAACACCTCAATCCCTAGGAAATACCTCAGTTCCCTAGGTCCTTGAGTTTGAATTGCTGATGCAAAGCTGCTTTAGCTTCATCAATTAAATCCTTATTGCTTCCAGTTAATAGCAAGTCATCAACATAGATGAGGATGATGACAATATCCTTGCCAGCCCTCTTAGTGAACATAGAGTAGTCATGAGTGCTTTGTATAAAGCCTGCTCCCACCGATGCTTCTGTGAGTTTCAAATTCCATTGCTTAGATGCTTGCTTGAGACCATATAGGGACTTATTCAGCTTGAAGACCTTTTGCTCCCCCTGCCTTTGAAACCCCTGTGGTAAACCCATATAGACTTCTTCAAACAAGTCTCCTTGAAGAAAAGCATTAAAGACATCCATTTGATATAGAGACCAATCTTTTGCAGCTGCAAGTGCTATCACAGATCTGACAGTTACCATCTTTGCAACTGGTGAAAATGTCTCATGATAGTCCAATTCCTCTTATTGATTGTATCTTTTTGCCACTAATCGTGCCTTGAATCTTTCAACTTCTCCATCTGCTTGGTACTTTATTTTGTACACCCACTTGGATCCAATGGGGGTTTTACTTGGTGGCAAGTCAACAACCTCCCAAGTCTTATTATCTTCTAGTGCTTGTATCTCCTGCTTCATGGCCGTGATCCATCTCTCATCCTTTACAGCTTCCTTGAAGTTATAAGGCTCCTTCAAGATTGAGAAAGCTGAAACATAGCTTCTATATTTTGATGACATCTTCTCATAGGATAGGAAGTTTGAGATTGGATACTTGCATTGTGAGGGCTTCTGTGGCTGCACCACATAGTCTCTTTGCCATATAGGTGGATTCTTTGCCCTTAGAGACTGTCTAGTTGGTACATTGGAAACAGGTTGAGTCTAAGTGTGTCTTCCCCATGTTGAATATCTTCATTGACACCATCTTGAGTAAGTGAAACAGCAGCTGTATCTTCAACACTCTCCAGCACAGCAGCATCATGATTTTCAAATGACTCTGGTGGTTCTTCCAGAACTTCTGCTGCTGATGTTTCAGTACTCAATCCAATGTTCCCATCCTCTGATGGTGAACTGGTACCTATGTCTGCAGCAGGAGGAACCTAAAATGATTCCCCAAGATTGGAACCTGCTGGTAGTTCATCTGGTTGACCCTGCACATCAATTATCTCCAAGAAACTAGAACTAAAGTCATTGGTTGTAAATGAATGTTGTGTCATTTTCCTAAACGGAAACTCATTCTCCCTAAAGGATACATCCCTGCTAATGAAGAAGGTTCAAGTAGTTAAATCATACAATCTATAGCCCTTCTGTGTAGTTGAATACCTCATATGAACAGCCTGTCTATCCCTTGCACCAAATTTATCATCTTGGGTCAGATTTGTGGCATAGCACAAGCATCCAAAAACCCTTAAATGTGCTATTGAGGGCTCTCTACCATACAGCATTCCATAAGGGCTTTTCCCATTTAGTATCCGGCAGTCTATTAATCAAGTAAACAGCAGTTTGTACACATTCCCCCTCAAAACATATCTGGAATATGGCCTTGAAATTTCAATGCCCCGGCAGTATTTAGTATATGTCTATGTTTCCTTTCAGCTACTCCATTCTGCTGGGATGTATAGACACAACTACTTTGGTGAATGATTCCCTGAGATAGCAAGAACTCATTCCACTGTGTATTGAAAAATTCTTTCCCATTATCTGTTCTCACAACTTTAACACAAGTATCAAATTGTGTCTTGACCATGGATATGAATTGTTTCAGAAAAACAATAGTTTCACTCTTATACTGCGTCAAGAAAATCCAAGTAGCTCTAGAGAAATCATCTACAACTGTAAGAAAGTATGTATTTTCTATCATGAGTGCTCTTCTTATATGGTCCTCAAACATCCAAGTGAACTAAATCAAAAACTCTAGCACTCCTTGTCTCACTGTTAGGAAAGCTCAATCTAGACTATTTAGCTAAAGGACAAACAGTACACTTATTCTGCATATTATCATCTACTTTATTATGCAAAAAAGGAACATGCTGCATTACAGGAACAGAAGCATGGCCTAATCTCTCATGCCACAAGTGAGTTGTTTCAGCACTTGAACCTCTTACATCCACATTTGCTGCTAAAAGCTTGATTCCTCTTCTTTTCAGAATGTACAAACCTTCATTCTCTTTACCAATGGCCTTCACCCTGCCATTGTAAAGGTCCTAAAACACACACAGTGTGGGGAGAAATATGGCAGCACATTTTAGATCTCTAGTTAACTTGGACACTGACATTAGATTAAACTTAAAGTCAGGAACATGTAGTACATTCCCTAGCTTATCAACATCTGACAAATATGAACTCCCCACATGTTTAATTTTTGTAGTGACACCATTTGGCAATTTCACCTTATCTTGTATGTTGTCATCTACTCTTCTTACATCATTCTTAAATCTAAGGTAGATGAAATGTGATGTGTTGCTCCTGAGTCTATAATCCAATCATCATTCCTTTTGTTTGAGATATGCACACTAGAAGATAATGCAGTGATTATACCTGCAGTTGTTGCCTGATTCTGTGCCTTTATGTCATTTGGTGGTGAGTCTCTCAATAAATCTAGAATCTGCTGATATTGTGCTTCTGTAAAGAAGTGGTATTCTGTGCCTTTATGTCATTTGGTGGTGAGTCTCTCAATAAATCTAGAATCTGCTGATATTGTGCTTCTGTAAAGAAGTGGTCTCCCCCTCTAGCATGTGATGTGTCTGATGTTCCTTGTGAACTCTGAGCCATGTTTCCTTCTTCATGACTCACAGAACCTTCCACATGATTTGTAGTTGTTAGAATCCCCTTAGAATGGTATGTTTTCCTCCTTCTGAAATCTTCAGGGTATCCTACTATTTTATAACAATTTTCTTTTGTGTGTCCTCTCATATGACAATGCTCACATTGCATAAATTGTTTCCTTCCACGAAATCCTTGACCTCTGCCTGCTTGCATTGCTAAGGGATCCGACTTATGACCTGGAACTCCACCTCCTGCATATTGCTGACTCTCATCTTGTGTTATAAGTGCATATGCCTGATTAAGTGTGGGTTCAGTTGTCTTCATTAAAATTTGTCTACGAGCTTGATCATATGTATCATTCAGTCCATCTAAGAACTGCATAAGTCTTTGTTGATGTAAATGAGTCATGTGTTCTTTAGATTTTGGACAACCACAGTCGGATATGGCACCAAACATCATACTCAGCCCACAGCTCCTTCAATTTGGTGAAATATACAGCTACAGAATCTGCTCTTTGAGATAGTCTCGAAATCGATCTGTGTAACTGAAAAATCCGAACTCGATTTACATTATCAAATTGCTCCTGTAGATCTTCCCAAACTGCATGTGCATCTGATGCATAGATGATACCACTAAGCAGATCTTTCGAAACAGAGTACATAATCCAGTTGTGCACTATCGCATTGCAAGTTTCCCATTCTTCATGGAGATTTTCCTCGAATGAATCCTTTGCATACGCTCCTGTTACAAACCCTAACTTCCGTTTATCCTTGAGAGCAAGACGCATCGATCTACTCCACAATCTATAGTTCTCCGATCCTATGAGTTGAATTGGAATTAGAACCAATCCAGGCGTATCTAAAGGCTGGAGGAAAAGTGGATGAGTGTGGTCGATTTTCACTGGTGTTTCTGGCGCCATTGATGCTTATGCAGAATATCAAAAACTAGAAATTGATTCAAATTAGCAAATGAGAAGATGAATTGACCTAAGTTGTTGATTAGTTGGAGAAATTCCACAATCTCACGGATCGATCTCTATGGCTCTGATACCATATTAGAAACTGCCATTAGAGAGCTCTGCACACGTGAGGAAGAAGAAGAAGAAGGAATTCGGAAATTTTCCAACTACATGTACTGTGCCACAGAATCAGTTATATACAACTAACTGAGGAAACAAAATAATAAAAAGACCCCCTAACTTCTAGTAATTATATTTGGGTCCCAATAATAACTAACTCCTAATCTAGATTCTGATCCTCTAGTTTCCAATATACTATCTCCCAAGTTCCCAGCTCAAATGCAAGATGGATTCAAAAGTTTAAGTCACTAAATACGTATATATGTAGTTTGCCTGCATTTTTTAACATAAGGCTAGATTTGTCAAGAAACCTTATCAGCCAGGATCACAATTTGGATTATCGTGAATGAGTTCAAATTTCAGTTGCTACAAACCGAGTTTAATCTTTTTTACTACTCCCTCCAATTTTAAATATTATTTTTTCTGTCTCAATTTATATGGCACCATTAGAAATATATGGTATATAAAACAAGTTTGGGATATTTATGTGGCTAAGGGTGACACTGTTCTTAGTCTTAGGACATACTAAAAAAGCAAATGTGTCATATAATTGAGATAGAGGGAGTAGTTATTTTGACAAATTGGATGTGTCTTAAAATACTTGACGTTTTAGTAAAATAAACTTTTTTTTTCTCGGTTACTAGTGTTCCCAGTAGTGGAGTGTTGATCAAAATAGACATTTAAGGAGAGTTAAAAGAAATGCTCTTGTAATTAAAGCTACTCCTATAAGATATATTTTTTTTAGGTGTTCTTTAAAAAAAATATGGACCTAAATTGTAAGTAGGGAAAAAAGGAGGAAGTTGGTCCCAAATGAAGGGGGAGTGCCAACTCAGGATTCATGACTTTATTTCTTAACAAGGAATACATCCACATATGAGAAAAATTGTACATTCTTCGTTGGTGGGATATATATAGATGTACATCATTTCATATGAGTGGTATTTACCTCTAAGTTGCCCACAATATATACTTTTCATATCAACAGTGGTTAGTGCTCTTCCCATTACTTGTTGTATGGCGTTAGCAAAGCTCCACTTATATGAGTTTTGCAAACAATATCTGGTCCTGAACTTCGATAAAAGAGAAGAATTACAATTAATACTCAAACTATATGAATCTTCTGAACACTATGAAATGATACTTAATTAAACAAAATGGATACAATTGATTGATTGATATTTGCATGTGATTGAGCTAATTCCTAGAAGATTGCTTCTGTTTATAGTGCTGTGAAATTGTTGATTAAATTTCACCAACATGCATGCAAAAAGCGCGATTAAGAGGAAGATCATTGCCTCTCTTCATTATCTATATGTAGGTTCAGACCTTTTCTCCAAATAAATGACAACCTTATGAGTATTCAGACTATAATAATTCCAAGAAACCATCACTCATTTTCTACCCTTATTCTATTCCAGAAGATGATCCAACAAGAATGCATTTGCTACACTTGACTTAAAAAGCACCTACGAACTCACTCACAAGAAAACTCATATTAATTAGGTCTTTTCGAGTCTTTCAACTAGCGGAAGAGGCAGGGGCGGATGCACCTTGGAGCATGACACCGCTTTGCGCGGAACAATTCACATGTAAAGTATATCTTGTTAAATAAGATAAAATGAAATAATTGACAAATACATCTCGCTAGCCCTCCTAGCCAAGCGTTCCTCTCTTTTAGGAGAGGTCCTGGGTTCAAAAATTTGTGTTCCCATTAACAATATTTTTCCTCTAAGTATGTTCCATGGTACGTTTTCTTTCTATCTTTTTCTTAGGGGACGATGAAGTTGGTCCAAATTAATTTGCAAAGTCAAATAATGAAAGTTTTTAAGTGATTGTTTAGTGTCATATGTAGAAAAAGTAGTATTTAGTATTATTTCTAATAAGGATATTCTAAATATATTTCAAGAAATGAAAACTTGTCAAGTGGGGTTGTAGTACTCCAATATACTTGAATTCATTTTTTAATCAAATTCGAATTTGTATTATTTAATGTGTATCATTACGGTAATTTGTTTGTTTGTTTATTTTTTTAATGCGACACCACTTACAAAAATTTCTTCGTGCGCCTCTGAAAAGAGGTCGGACCAACTTAAAAGCCATAAATTATAGGCTGCAATTAACTGCATAGATACCAGACAATAGATAATAGATTCTGCTATAATAGGGCTATAGTGGATTATCGAGAGTACATATTTGTCTTCATTGAGAGGAATCTGAAAGAAAGTAGTACCAAAAAAATGGGACCAAAGAGAAGACAAGAAAAGAGAGGAATCTTGGCCATTTCTCCTCTGGTAATTCCTTCTCGTATCTTTAGCTTTGTTTTCGCGATTTCTTAACTTCCTCTCTCCCGTTCATTGTTCTTGGTCTCTTTTGTTTTATTAACACACCTTCTGCCATAAATATGCCTAGAACACACCAGTCACGTGAAGGGATTTCTGACGCCACCCCGTTATCCATGGCACTTCCTTCCGGTGGTGAGGACACGATGGCGGGGGAGGGGGACAGTTTTTTCACTGTAGATGTGTTGTTATCGAGACACCCTATGTCTCGAAGTGACTTTCTTAAAGATCCTGCTCCTACTCCCACTCCGGTAGTGTCTGAAATCGAGCAGGCCCATATAGATGCCCTCTACACTAAGCATAGCATTCCTCCTCATGTCCAGATGGTTCCGGCGGGGGAGGGACGTCGTGGAGGTCCATAGACCGGGGTATTATTCTCTTTACGAATACCCCTTTGTAATTGGTCATTCCTTCCCCTTTTTCCCGTTAGCGAAAGAATTTTGTCGGTTTTACCAGGTTTGCCCGGCGCAGCTTTCTCCGTACACGTATAAAATATTTTTGGTGTTGACAAACTACGCGGAGTTGGCGGGATACGAAGTTGACATTCACCACCTCTTGCACTTGTTTTCCCCTAGTTTTCACAAGGGTACTATGGTACATTTGAGGCACCGTGGGACCAAAGGGTTGGTGGTCGGAACTGACGATCGGGCGAGCCGTAAGTTTTGGCATAACTATTTTTTCGTCAGAACTGAACACATTGTGTCGGACCCCGGTAGATTCCCGGAGCGGTGGAATGATAATCGTAGGTGTCGCAACTTGGTTGCTCTCTCTTTTTTCTTTGTTGTGTTCAACTTAGTATTTATCTGCGGCTTCTTTTTGCAGCTATGGGGTGTGCACCCCGTCCCATTGCCGGTATAAGGGACTGGTAGCCCGTTTACTGCTTCACGCAGTGGAGACCCGATACTGACCTGCTTTTGTGAAACGTTTTGGACCCAAGTCTCATCCGGTAAGTGTCTTCCTCTGTACCGCTCTTCGGCTATTTGCCATTATCTATTGATACGACTCCTTGTGATGACAGGTCGTGGAGCTTCTTGGCGGGGGGCCCCTGTCCCTACATTTTACCATGCCATCGCCTCGGCAGGAATGCAATTTACTTTGGAGGAATCCGTCCGAGAGGGTCGTGCTCAGCCGATGCAGGCGGGAGACTCCTCCCGTGATACGGTTATGAGGAAAGCGACCTCCTCTTTACCGTTCTATCACCTCGTGGATGAGTCCTCTTATAGGGACGAACCTCCGCTGAGCAAAAAGAGGAGGGTAGAGCTCGGGAAAGAGGTGGCTGTTGATATTGTAATGTAAGACTGGTGCGTCGGAGATGGCACCTGTGCCCGCGTTTATAGCAGATGAAATCTTGGCGGGGAGGTCTCCTCGGACAGAAGGAGTATACCAAGGAGGGGGCTGTGCGTTTCGCTAAGGGTGGCGCATCATCTACTGTCGGAGGAGGCTTACGCACCGAGGGCGACGGCTCGGGTTCGGATGTCGACCCAGGGGATGTTCAAGAATTTTTGGAACGTCACACTCGCGTAGAGGTTAGAACGGAGGGTTTTGATCGACACATAGTCGTCCCCGGGGACTACGACTTGCTGACGAACTGTGATCAGGTGGCGTCCGTTTTTGCCCCTTTATGTGCTGCTCCTGAGAGCGAGGTACTTAGAGCGATGAGTGATGCAGAGTTGTCACAGAGCGTTTCCGGCATGGCTTTGCGGGTAAATGCCTCTCTTTTCTTTTCGTCGTTGGATCTGTTTTACTATTCTTGGCTTATCCTTTTGTTCTAACTTTGTTTTTCATATTAGACCCTCATCATGGAGATCAAGCGCGAGCGTCGGGAAAGAAGGAGGATGACCATCAATGGGAAGATGTCCTCTAAGTATCAAGAATATCGCACCAAGCATCGTGCGATGGCCGATATCTTCACTCAGGATCGGGACTTTCAGTTGTTTCGCGATGGGCTTAAGTAGAGGGAGGATCAATTGGCGCGTAAGGTCAAAGAATTG